AGTGGCAGGATTGTTCCCCATTGTTGGTGTCAGTGGGTGGATTGTTTCCCGATTGTTGGTGTCAGTGGGTGAATTGTTTTCCCATTGTTGGTGTCAGTGGACGGTATAATACCCCAAGGGCTGGATAAAAGCAAGCAGAGGGCTGTATCGGGCCCCGGGGCCGCAGTTTGGAGACCCCTGTTATAAAGGGATCAGACCAGAGAAGTGTTCCTGTCATTTTGATGTTCTCTGTCCCCCGGGACGTATCCGGAGGCGGAGCAGCAGAATCTGCAGATGTGTTCCGTGCGTTCCGAGGTTGGCAGCCGCGTGTTGCCTCGTTGAGGGTTTCGGAGCATCGAATATACGAGAAATCGGTCCCCAGTGTGGCCCCTCGCTGCTTCCCATTCACTTTCATTGCACAGCGGAGCTCCCCCTGCTGGCTGCATGGAGTACTGAGCGCAGCGCATTATGTGCCCCTCGGCATGCAGAACGTTACTCCTCAAGGGGGCGGAGTTCTTGGGATGCGGAAACCCTTTTCTTTCCTTCCACGCGGTACAGAGGGGGCGTCGCCTCCCACCCAGCTCCGCCTTCCACTCCCGGCCCTTGTGCAAGCATTGTACTGGATCCCGGTACAGCCCTGCCCATCCCCCACCCTCACCCCCTACTCCCTCCCCCCATCACTCGGATGTGTTTTGGACGCGGTTGCTGCCGCGGCGTCACTTTCGCTCGCCGTACATTGCTGCTATTTACTGTTTATTTTTGTTTTTTGCCTTTTTTGCTCGTGCCTAAAAATGTGGAGAAACAAGAGAAACGAGTCGCAGAGGAACTCCGCCGAACCGGAAGAGGAAAAGAATAAAATGATATATATATATAGTGCTGGGAAGAGGTCAGCCGGGGCCCAAGGCAAAGATGACAAGCTGCCCCCCCCTCCCCTGCAAGCAGCCCCCCCCCCCCCCCATACATCAAAAGGAGGAGCTGGAGGGGAGAGAGAGCACAGCCTGCACCTCCTCCCGGCTCTCTCCATGCCCATTCCTGCGCTCGGTGGACATGAGTAGTGATGCCGATGTCATTTCTCCTGTCAACCTGTCAGAGCGTGCCCCCCCACGATAAATCGCGCCTTCTGCCCCACCCCACTCCAACCCCCATCATATACACACACCCATCCCCCATCCTATACACACACACATCCCATCGTGGAGCATTCCCTCTCATTGCTTTTGAATACTGCCCTGTGCGCCCCTCTGAACTCCATCACTAGGGGCTTGGCCCCCCTTCTACCCTCCTCCCTTCAGTGGTTGGTAAGGGTGCAATCAGTGGGGGGGGGGGCTTGACCCTGAAAGTGAAGGTTTCAGCGAGACACACAAAGGTAAAGGGAACCTCGTGGTGCCTGGGCCAGCACGGGAATTTTAGATTTAAATAAAAATGGCCGACTGGTTTGCTGTAAGAATTGGATGACGGGATAAGAAGAAGTGACGGGTTCTCTTTAAAGGGGGATTTCAATAAAAATGCAACAGGCTTTTCGGCAATGCAGCAATCAACTACTGCGCCTGGATGCATTAGTAGTCAGTGGGGCGGGGGACTTCTGTTCTGCATGGGCGGGGACTTCTGTTCTGCATGGGCGGGGCTGCATTTGGAAGATCCTGGGAGATGAGTCTTAGTCTGGAAGCCGGACCCTCAGGAGGTGGGGGGGGGGGGGGAACATTTGCCCTTCTCAGCACCAATCAGTCCCAGCGATGTTCATCAACCGCTGCGCATGCATGCGTGCCAGTCAGCGCATTTACTTACATGCTCCGCCTCCAGCCCTGGGATCGAATGGGGCGAGTGGCACTCATTTGCATTAGTAGTTAGTGTGGCAGGGATTTCTTTCTGCAGGGGCGGGGCAAAAACTCAGGGGCGGGGCTGAAGATCAGTCTTTTCCTCAATGGTGGGTGGGGGGAACATTTGAAGGACGATCTCCTCCGTAATACAAATCAATTCCTGGCTGCCGATATGACAGCCGGCGCTGTGCGGGAAGGGGAGGGGTTTACATGATGGGGGAGGAGCAAGACATAGAAGATACATCCTCGAAGCTTTGTAATTTTTTATTTATACGATGTATCTCTTACGCTCCGCCTCCTCCGGGGTTCCATGTTGTGGCGTCCTCTACAAATAAAGTTTTGTATTGATATTTGTCTTATCGGTAGGCGGTTGCACGGAGGCGGGACCAAAGTATATCTGACCAATCACTGCATAGCCAGGATTTCATGTGAACCCGTCGGCCATTTTTAATCTTCCTGGCTAAGAGTAGACTCCTCCCATTCTGGTGATCAGGAAGTACAACGCATCGAACAATACAGTGAAACGATCTTCAGGGGGGCGCATGGGGGGTGTCTGGGCAGGTTGGCGGCAGGGGGGGGGGGGCACTTAGATGGGGCTTGTTGCTGCACTACTTGTAGGATCTGTTCCTTGGCGGTGAATTGGCGCCAATGTCTGTCGAGACTCCCCCCCCCCCCCCCCCCCCCCCATCACCCATCCCCCCCCCCCCCCCCCCGGTTCTGTGGACTTCAGCTGCTGCACGTGTATCATACCCATCACCCTTGTAAATAGGATTCAATTAATTTCTAGTGACCCTCCCCCACACACACCCCTCCCCTCCCCCCACACACCCCTCCCCTCCCCTCCCCCCCCCACGGACGACGAGGGGGGTTTTCTAGGCTCAATGTACAGAATGTTTCTAAATGGGAAATGCGAAGCTTTGTGTGTTATTTATGGCGATGATGTAAATCCATGTTTGTTCGGAGAGTCGTTGGTGGGTTGTAGGTGATCAATAAACTGATAGAAGATGAATATTCTGCGTCTGATCATTCGTATCGATGACGTCACACGCGGATACATTGTAACACTTCCTATAGTCGGATCCGGGTGTTCATGTGAATTGGTGGTCGCTGGGCGTGGCCGGACGTATCTCCACCCAGGTTGGTGGGACGGCACAATGAAGAGCCCAGGGGGCGGGGCTCCAGGTAAGTACTTTTGGTAGGTGGCTGCCATTCATAGGGTGGGGGGGGGGGACAGCGGTGACATCAGCATCCCAAATCTCACAAGGAAGCCTGCCCAGGCCGGGAGTCGCTGTGCTTCTCTCTTCTCTGTATTGTCCTTCCGGAGAAATGGAGGTTTTGATGTTTTCAGATTAGAAATTCTTCATGGAAAGAAAAGAATAAAAGGAAGGAAGGATGGATGGATGGAGACATGGATGGAGACATGGATGGAAGGATGGAGACATGGATGGATGGATGGATGGAGACATGGATGGATGGATGGATGGAGACATGGATGGATGGATGGAGACATGGATGGATGGATGGATGGATGGAGACATGGATGGATGGATGGAGACATGGATGGATGGATGGAGACATGGATGGATGGATGGATAGACGGACTCCTCTACACTGGCATACAGAGGGGCCTTACAGTCCTGTTCACACACTTTGCTTCGCTACTGAGCATGTGATCGACAGAGCCGGGGGCTACTACTGAGCGGGGGATCGGCAGAGCCGGGGGCTACTACTGAGCGGGGGATCGGCAGAGCCGGGGGCTACTACTGAGCGGGGGATCGGCAGAGCCGGGGGCTACTACTGAGCGGGGGATCGGCAGAGCCGGGGGTTACTACTGAGCGGGGGATCGGCAGAGCCGGGGGCTACTACTGAGCGGGGGATCGGCAGAGCCGGGGGCTACTACTGAGCGGAAGATCGGCAGAGCCGGGGGCTACGACTGAGCGGAAGATCGGCAGAGCCGGGGGCTACGACTGAGCGGAAGATCGGCAGAGCCGGGGGCTACTACTGAGCGGGGGATCGGCAGAGCCGGGGGCTACTACTGAGCGGGGGACCGGCAGAGCCGGGGGCTACTACTGAGCGGGGGATCGGCAGAGCCGGGGGCTACTACTGAGCGGGGGATCGGCAGAGCCGGGGGCTACTACTGAGCGCGGGGATCGGCAGAGCCGGGGGCTACTACTGAGCGGGGGATCGGCAGAGCCGGGGGCTACTACTGAGGAGAAGGGATCGGCAGAGCCGGGGGCTACTACTGAGCGGGGGATCGGCAGAGCCGGGGGCTACGACTGAGCAGAAGATCGGCAGAGCCGGGGGCTACGACTGAGCGGGGGATCGGCAGAGCCGGGGGCTACTACTGAGCGGGGGATCGGCAGAGCCGGGGGCACTACTGAGCGGGGGACCGGCAGAGCCGGGGGCCACTACTGAGCGGGGGGGACCGGCAGAGCCGGGGGCCACTACTGAGCGGGGGACCGGCAGAGCCGGGGGTCACTACTGAGCGGGGGACCGGCAGAGCCGGGGGTCACTACTGAGCGGGGGACCGGCAGAGCCGGGGGCCACTACTGAGCGGGGGACCGGCAGAGCCGGGGGCCACTACTGAGCGGGGGACCGGCAGAGCCGGGGGCCACTACTGAGCGGGGGATCGGCAGAGCCGGGGGCTACTACTGAGCGGGGGATCAGCTGAATGAGGGTACCAATGCTGAACAGGGGCACTAACGATCAGGGGATTTGTTGGGCCCACACATCCTCAGGCTGGGTGTGTACTAGGTGGGGAATCCTCGGAATGGGAGTAGTGGGCGGGGAATCCTCGAAACGGGTGTACCTAGAAATGGGGGAATCCTCCGGCTGGGTGTAGTGGGCGGGGAATCCTCGGAATGGGCCGCCGGTATTTGCATTCCTCAGACAGGTCGGGGCGCACCGTGGCAAGTCACGTGGGCGACAGGAACGTAAACAAGGCTCAGGAGGCGGGGTTACGCTGCCTTTCAGGAAGTGTCTCTATGGACACGTGACGACGCTGGGGTGACGTGCGGCCCGGTGATTGGCGAAGGGCGGCCTCCTCCTCGGGGCTCCAACCAATGGCGGTGCCGCGGTGCGGTCGACCGTCCTATGAGGCGGCGGTGGGCGGGATGTGAGGCGGAAGTGTCGGTGATGCGGTGTTGGTCGGCGGTGGTCGGGCTGCTGTTGCTGCGGCTCGGCCTGCAGGCTCTCCGGGGGATGATGTCTCCGGGGGCGGCGGAGGGGAGCCGGGGCTCGGTGTGCCGCTCCTCGTACGGCCGCTTCCACCAGGCGGATGACGAGTACAGCCGGAGATACGGCTCCTTCCCCGCCCCCCGCCGCCGCCTCATGAAGGAGAAAGTCCGCCGGATGTTCAGCTTCGCCTACGACGGATACATGAGCTTCGCCTTCCCGGAGGACGAGCTCAACCCCATCGACTGCCGGGGGAGGGGGCCGGACACCGGCAACCCGTGAGTACCTACCTACTGTGTCCACCTACCGTACACCCACCTACCGGCCTGGAGTACCTACCTCCTATACCTACTGTACCCACCTACCTATAGACCCCCGGGGGAGGGGGCTGGACACTGGCAACCCGTGAGTACCTACCGTACACCCACCTACCTATAGACTGCCGGGGGAGGGGGGCCGGACACCGGCAACCCGTGAGTACCTACCTACTGTGCCCACTTACCGTACACCCACCTACCGACATTGAGTACCTACCTCCTATACCTACTGTACCCACCTACCTATAGACCCCCGGGGGAGGGGGCCGGACACTGGCAACCCGTGAGTACCTACTGTACCCCCACTTTACCTATAGACTGCGGGGGGAGGGAGTCAGACACCGGCAACCTGTGAGTACTTACCTGCCTGGAGTACCCACCTACTATACACCTACATACTGGCTCGGAGTACCTACCTCCTATACCTACTGTACACCCACCCATCGACTGTCCAGGGAGGGGGCCGGACACCAGCAATCCGTGAGTACCTACCATACTCGCCTACTGTCCCAGAGTACCCACCTACCAAACACCCACCCACCTACCGGCCTGGAGTACCTACCTCCTATACCTACTGTACACCCACCTACCATAGACTGCTGGGGCAAAGGGCCAAACTCCAGCAAAACATGAGTATTTGCTGTACACCTACCATACCAGAGTACCTACCTTCTATATGCCTACCGACCATACACCCACCTACCTACATAGTACCTACCCCCTATAACTGCCTAAAGACTGTCCAGGAAGAGGACCGGACACCATCAATCCATGAGTACCTACCACACCAGAGTACCTACCGTGCACCCACCTTCTATATACCTACCGTGCACCCACCTTCCGTATACCTACCTACCGTGCACCCACCTTCCGTATACCTACCTACCGTGCACCCACCTTCCGTATACCTACCTACCGTGCACCCACCTTCCGTATACCTACCTATTTTCTATATACCCCCATGTGTAGTGGGTAGGTGAGCCTCGTGTGCCCCCCCCCGGGACTGGTGGGCAGTCATTGGCTGGTCAGTAAAGCTGAACTCCAGGAAAGGACGTTCTGTAAGTCTCTTCCCTGATTCCTGCAGAGGATGTCCCTCCATGTATGAGCTCTGAATAAGTAAAGCCAGATATTACCCTGTAAGAGTAGCAGTGATGTCATCGCTGTGCTGTACATAGCCTGTGCAGAGCTGTGGGAGGGGCCCTGCAGGCTCCACCCACTGCAGAAACCGATAGGAGGGGGTGGAGACGAGACCAGTCCCCCTGCACAAGGAGAGAGAGGAGCAGTCAGCAGTCTTTATTGACGGATATTTCCAGGAAGGATCCCGGAGATCACATGGTCTGTTTCTCTCTCTCTGAGTGGCTGTAATAAATGTCTGTTGGATGTGCATACCCTGTGAGGGGCCCCTCTGTGGTCATTGGGCCCCGGGCTCTGCTAATCCCTCTGACTTGTTTTCAGGTTGAACCTCAACATCAACGATGTCCTGGGGAACTATTCGCTCACCCCTCATCGATGCCCTGGACACGCTAGCGGTGAGTTGTGTGCAATGTGTCCGGTATGTAATGTGCAGGGCTGGAGGGGAGGAGCCAGTATGTATGTAGCAGGGGCTGGAGGGGAGGAGCCAGTATGTGTGTGTGCAGCTGGAGGGTGAGGAGCCAGTATGTGTGTGCAGGGCTGGAGGGGAGGAGCCAGTATGTGTGTGCAGGGCTGGAGGGGAGAGCCATGTATGTGTGTGCAGGGCTGGAGGGGAGGAGCCGGTATGTATGTGCAGGGCTGGAGGGAGGAGCCGGTATGTATGTGCAGGGCTGGAGGGGAGGAGCCGTATGTATAGTGCAGGGCTGGAGGGGAGGAGCCGGTATGTATGTGCAGGCTGGAGGGGAGGAGCCGGTATGTATGTGCAGGGCTAAAAGGGAGGAGCCGGTATGTATGTGCAGGGGCTGGAGGGGAGGAGCCGGTATGTATGTGCAGGGGCTTGTGAGGGGAGGAGCCGGTATGTATGTGCAGGGCTGGAGGGGAGGAGCCGGTATGTATGTGCAGGGCTGGAGGGGAGGAGCCGATATGTATGGTGCAGGGCTGGAGGGGAGGAGCCCGGTATGTATGTGCAGGGCTGGAGGGAGGAGTCCGTATGTATGTTGCAGGGCTGGAGGGAGGAGCCCGGTATGTATGTGCAGGAGGGCTGGAGGGGTGGAGCCGGTATGTATGTGCAGGGCTGGAGGGGAGGAGCCGGCACGCCTGTGGCAGGGCTGGAGGGGAGGAGCCGGCACGCCTGGGCAGGGCTGGAGGGAGGAGCCGTCACGCCTGGGCAGGGCAGGAGGGGAGGAGCCCAGCACGCCTGGGCAGGTACTGGAGGGTGAGGAGCCGGCACGCCTGGGCAGGGCTGGTAGAGGGGAAGGAGCCGCACGCCTGGCTCTATATATCCAGCTCACCTTCTGTGGAGTGTATCAGAGCCCGGTCTGTGATGGGATGTGCGTCCTCTTACTGGCCTTCACTACTTCCTGTGAGCCCATGTCCAGTACAGAACCCGGCATATCATACACACGCAGAATCCGGAGATTCCAAAGACCCGCCTCCTCCCCACCCCCCCTTCCCTACAGACACTCTAATATTGTATTGGAAGATCCGAAATGTGATCCTTGCATCAGTCCCCCCTCCGGGCTCCCTTCAAGCCTCACTCCTCCCCTACACCTGCCTCCTCCCCTTCAGCCTGCTCCTCCCCTTCAGCCTGCTCCTCCCTTCAGGCCTGCTCCCATCCCCTTCAGCCCTGCTCCTCCCCTTCAGCCTGCTCCTCCCCTTCAGCCTGCTCCTCCCCCCCCCTTCAGCCGTCACTCTCCCCCCCCCCCCTTCAGCCTCCTCTCTCCCCCCCCCCCCCTTCAGCCTCCTCCTCCCCCCCCCCCCCCCCCCCTTCAGCCTTCCTCTCCTCCCCCCCCCCCCCCTATCAGACCTCCTCTCCCCCCCCCCCCCCCCCCAGCCCCCTTCAGCCTCCTCTCCCCCCCCCCCCCCCTTTCAGCTATTCCTCTCACCCCCCCTTCAGCCTCCTCTCCTCCCCCCCCCCCCTTCAGCCTCCTCTCCTCCCCCCCCCCTTCAGCCTCCTCCTCCCCCCCCCCTTCAGCCTCCTCTCCCCCCCCCCCCCCTTCAGCCTGCCACCCTCCCCCCATCCTTCAGCCTTCCTCTTCCCCCCCCCCCCACCTGTCCCTTCTCCCCCCCCTTGCAGCCCCCCCTCCCCCCTTCAGCCCCCCCTCTCCCCCCCCCCCCCCCCTTTCAGCCTCCTCCCCCCCCCCCCCCCCTTTCCTCAGCCTCCTCCCCCCCCCCCAGCCATTTCCATCCTCCCCCCCCGCCCCCCCCCGTCCACCCCAGCCTCCCCCCCCCCTTCAGCCTCCGCCACCCCCCCCCCCCTTTCAGCCTCCTCCCCTCCCCCCCCCTTCAGCCTCCTCCACCCCCCCCCCCTTACCTTTTGGGCAAATGCCTCCTCCTAGCCCCCTCCCCCCCCCCCTCTCAGAGCCTGCATCCCTCCCCCTGGACGTGGAATGGCTTCCTGTGATGTCACCCCACACTGGGAGTCTTAAGTCACAATCGTACATTTCAGAAGCTGCAGCAGTCAGAGCTCCGCCCCATTTCCTGGCTGGAGGATGCCCAGCAATCATCTAGCTCTTTCCACTCCTCCCCAACAGACGGTCTGTCCCTGCTGCCCACTCCCACCCCATTTCATGCATTGGAGCTCTCCACCCCATTTCCTGGCTGGAGGACGTCCATGTATCAATCTAGCTTTCTTCTCTTTCCCAGCGTGAAGCGTGGACTTTCCTGGCCCTACCCTCTCCTTTCATTGTCATTGGTAAAGATTCAGTTCTTCCAATCCATGCAGGACTCAGCATCACGTGTGGGCGTTACCTATGCAAATACGGCCCTGCTCTAGGAACACCCACCACCTCCAGACAACCCCCCAATCCATCAAGGCATTTTGATAGTTGTGTAAATCCTCCCACAATGCTCACATCCTTACTGGGGCTCTGGAGAGGAGTACTGAGGCTGTGATGTACATAGCTACCAAACAGCCCCATGCTGGGCCCTACCCACCAGCCATGGTTCTCCTCGCCTTGCATAGAGAAGCACAGAGAGTGTTTCAGGAGGGGAGGAGCGGAGTCCTCATTTGTCTGTAGTGATGATTTCTTCTGTTTGCAGGTGATGGGGAATGTCACGGAGTTTCCAGAGAGCTGAATCCTTCGTTCCGCTTACAATCTACTCCCCTTACGCTTATTTACTGATAGACACCCTGGTGTGTCATTTGGATAAAGATTCCACGGTTATCAGGTGTTCGAGGCGACAATTCGGTAATCGCACTGGAAGTTCACCGGTGATCACAGATGATGCTACTACAAACTAAGAGGGTGCAGCTGACCCGGCCCTCACATCCGCATACGGACCAATCCGCTTCCGGGTTTTACTGGCAAAACTTAAGAACGGAAACCAGCATTTCTTGTATCAGGGATTTTATTTTTACACTTTACTTTTACATTTTTTACGAGGGATTTTTTTTTTAATCCCTTTTATTTCTATTACAAGGAATGTAAACGTCCCTCGTGATAGAAATTAATTATACAGGATTTATGGCGGCCAAACAGTGATCCTCAGCGCTGTACAATATCATGGGAGACAATACAGATCAATACAAGAGGGTTAGGAGCTAGACAACCTAAGAGGGAGGGAGCTGATCCTGGGAGCTTACAATCTAAGAGGGAGGAGCTGATCCTGGGAGCTTACAATCTAAGAGGGAGGAGCTGATCCTGGGAGCTTACAACCTAAGAGGGAGGAGCTGATCCTGGGAGCTTACAACCTAAGAGGGAGGAGCTGATCCTGGGAGCTTACAACCTAAGAGGGAGGAGGCTGATCCTGGGAGCTTACAATCTAAGAGGGAGGAGCTGATCCTGGGAGCTTACAATCTAAGAGGGAGGGAGCTGATCCTTGGGAGCTTACAATCTAAGAGGGAGGCAGCTGATCCTGGGAGCTTACAACCTAAGAGGGAGGAGCTGATCCTGGGGAGCTTACAACCTAAAGAGGGAGGAGCTGATCCTGGGAAGCTTACAATCTAAGAGGGAGGAGCTGATCCGGGAGCTTACAATCTAAGAGGGAGGAGGAGCTGATCCTGGGAGCTTACAAATCCTAAGAGGGAGGAAGTGATCCTGGGGCTTTTTTTTTGGATCCTGGGAGCTTACAACCTAAGAGGGAGGAGCTGATCCTGGGAGCTTACAATCTAAGAGGGAAGGGGGGCTGATCCTGGGAGCTTTACAATCTAAGAGGGAGGCGTGAGCTGATCTCTGGGAGCTTACAACCTAAGAGGGAGGAGCTGATGATCCTGGGGAGCTTACAACCCTAAGAGGGAGGAGCTGATCCCGGAGCTTACAACCTAAGAGGGAGGAGCCTGATCCCGGGAGCTTACAATCTAAGAGGGACGGGCCCTTGATCCTGGGAGCTTACAATCTAAGAGGGAGGGGTTCTGATCCTGGGAGCTTACAATCTAAGAGGGAGGGGCTGATCCTGGAGCTTACAAATCTAAGAGGGAGGGGTCTGGATCCTGGGAGCTTACATCTAAGAGGGAGGGTCTTATGACCTGGGAGCTTACAATCTAAGAGGGAGGGTCTGATCCTCTGGGAAGGTTCCCAATCCTATAGAGGGAGGTCAGCTGATCTGGGATGAGTTCCAATCTAAGAGGGACGGGGGCCTGATCCTGGGAGTTACCAACCTAAGACGGGAGGGGTGTGATCCTGGGAGTTCCCAACCTAAGAGGGAGGGGGCTGAATCCTGGGAGTTCCAACCTAAGAGGGAGGGGTGATCCTGGGAGTTCCAACCTAAGAGGGAGGGGGCTGATCCTGGGAGTTCCCAACCTAAGAGGGAGGGGCTGATCCTGGGAGTTCCCAACCTAAGAGGGAGGGGCCTGATCCTGGGAGACGTTCCAACCTAAGAGGGAGGGGCTGATCATGGGAGTTCCCAACCTAATATCGGGGAGGGGATGATCTGGGAGTTTTCCCTAACCTAAGAGGGAGGGCTTGATCTCTGGGAGTTTCCTGGGGAGTTCCCAACCTAAGAGGGAGGACTGAATCCCTGGGAGCTTACAAACGTAAGAGGGAGGGGCTGCTATCCTGGGAGTTTACAACGTAAGGGGAGGGCTGATCTGGTAGTTTATAATCTAGGAGGGAGGGGCTGATCCTGGGAGCTTTCAATCTAACGAGGGAGGGGACCTGATCCTGGGCGCTTACAATCTGTAAGGGGAGGGGAGGGGTCCGATCTGGGAGTTTCCTAATGTAAGGGGAGAGGGGCTGGGGGAGTTATCCTGGGAGTTTCCAATGTATAGGGGGAGGGGATGATCCTGGAAGTTATTCAATGTAAGGGGGAGGGGGTGATCCTGGGAGTTTCCAACTGTAAGGGGGAGGGGCTGATCCTGGGAGTTTCCAATGTAAGGGGTAGGGGAATGATCCTGGGACTTGTTCCTAATGTAAGGGGGGAGGGCTGATCCTGGGGGACTTTCCAATGTAAGGGGGAGGGGCTGATCCTGGGATTTCCAATGTAAGGGGGAGGGGCTGATCCTGGAACTTTCCAAATGTAAAGGGGGAGGGGCTGATCCTGGGGATCTTTCCAATGTTAAGGGGGAGGGGGCTGGGGGGAGGGGCTGCCCTGGGACTTTCAATGTAAGGGGCAGGGGTGATCCTGGGAAGTTTACAATCCTAAGAGGGAGGGGCCTGATCTTGGGAGTTTTACAATCTAAGAGGGGAGGGCCTGATCCTGGGAGCTTACAGTCTAAAAGATCTGGGCAGCTGGCAGTCTAAAAGAATGGGCAGGTTGAATGGGGATCTGCAGTCAGTAAGACCCCCATCTCTCCTCTGCAATGTAAAGCATTCATCTGGTGCTTTAATATAAAAAAAAGAAATGGCCTTACATGGCGCTGGAACCGGAAGTGACGCAATGACGTCGCTCCGATCTCCCAGGGGCATAGAGATGAGTGGAGGCCATCTTTCCATCACTGATCTCTATGCCCAGCCAAATGGGTTCTCGGAGACCCACCTGGCGGGGGCGGGGCTATTTTCAGCCACCTGTATTGGTTGTCTATTTTCATATCGGCCCGAAACATTTTGGTTTCTGAATCTCGGTGCATCCCCTAGTCTCCGCCCCCCTTAGTCTCGTCCGCCCCCTTAGTCTCAGCTTGTCTCCTCCAGTGTGTGTGAAGTCTCTGACCGTCTTCTCTCATATACTGAAATACAATGGAGGAGATTTACGAAACCCTGAGAGTGCAGAATCTGGTGCAGCTCTGCATGGCGGCCAATCCGCTTCTACCTTCAGCTATGAAGCTTTGACAATAAAACCTGGAAGCTGATTGGCTCCCATGCAGAGCTGCACCAGATTTTACACTCTCCAGCTTTCGTAAATCTCTCCGTCTGTGGCCCCGTGGACCTTTCAGGGGCCACAGTTGAGGCCCCCAGAACTTTGGCTAACAGCCACAGCACTTTATAAAACCTGCAGCTTTGTCACCTCATCTGACCTGTCTGTGTCTCTCATGCACAGGATTCTGGGAAGTCTTCTGTCTGCACACACATCATCCTGACTGACAGCAAACAGCCGTTCGGCAACATGACGGTAAACGGATATGATAACGAACTCCTCCATATGGCCCATGACCTTGCCGTTCGCCTCCTGCGGCCTTCGAGAACACCAAGACTGGCATGCCTTATCCAAGGGTAGGTGTCCCGCATGTGGGAGGAGCTACAAAGTGACCGGAGATCCTTGATTGTCTGCATGCCAATGACAAATCTGGCAGCATCACCTGACCTGACCAGAGCTCTGCACCATCTGAAGGTCGTCATACAACACCGCGGTTTCCTCCGACTGTACCGTCTGCGCACACGCCGTCGGTCCGACTATGTACGTCTGCGCACACGCCGCGGTCCGACTGTACCGTCTGCGCACACGCCGCGGTCCGAACTGTACCGTCTGCGCACACGCCGCGGTCCGACTGTACCGTCTGCGCACACGACCGCGGTCCGACTGTACCGTCTGCGCACACGCCGCGGTACCGACTGTACCGTCTGCGCACACGCCGCGGTCCGACTGTTACCGTCTGCGCACACGCCGCGGTCCCCTCTGTACCGTCTGCGCACACGCCGCGGTCCGACTGTACCGTCTGCGCACGACGCCGCGGTCCGACTGCACCGTCTGCGCACACGCCGCGGTCGACTGCACCGTCTGCGCACACGCCGCGGTCCGACTGCACCGTCTGCGCACACGCCAGTGCGGTCCGACTGCACCGTCTGCGCACACGCCGCGGTCCGACTGCACCGTATACTGCGCACACGCCGCGGTCCGACTGCACCGTCTGCGCACACGCCGCGGGTCCGACTGCACCGTCTGCGCACGATCACGCCGCGGTCCGACTGCAGAGTGATTGTTCAATCAGATTGTAAACAAATCTGAAGTATATATAATATTTTTTAGCACTGTAATTGTATCTTCTGTAGGGAAGAGATGCACGCTGCCACCTTTCAGGCCACCTTCAGGTTCAGTAACATTTGAAGGCTTACTTCACCATGCGGAGTCCAGCCTGTCTGGGTGTCAGAGGTGTCAGGGGTGTCAGGGGCTGACCATCGTGATCAGATAACTAACCTTAAGGCGGAGTTCCACCTGGAAATAAATAAGTCAGCCGCTACAAAAACTACAAAAACTGTATCTGCTGACTTGTTGAAAATCCGGGGCCACTTACCTGTCCCTCGGTCCTGCATTGTCCTCACCATGGCTGGTTTCACCACCGTCTGTCTCTCTCTCCCCCGGTGGCGGCATCTTCAGTGTGGGCCCCCAGCTGGGACAGCTTGCGGCTTCATAGCAAGGTGCCCACTGCGCATCAGTGTGAGAAGCGCTGCACTTTGCGAATGACCACGTAGTCTTCTTGGACCTGTCACGTGTCCCACTATGAGGGGGGGACAACTTCTGCTTCCGATCACCTAAGTGATTGCACCGGAAAGTGGGAACCCGTCAAATTCGGTAGTCAATGTGAAAGCTACACCCTGATGACTAGGAATGTAATGACAGGTAAAGTATGATGAAGTGGAGAAGGCTCAGGCAAGGGTGTGCGGGGGACGTTTAGAAAATGTCCCCCCGCATCGGCAGCGCCCCCGTCCAGCCGTTTATCTACATGGCCGGAGGGGGAAGGGGTTAAGTATAATGAAGATCTCTCTACAAGATGACATCTTCACCACATTTGCCTCCACATTCATGTCCCCTTTCTATCCTGGAGGACTATATGAAGTAGCAGAGACTGAACTTGCTGATCCTTCTCTCTCCAGGTGAACCTACAGAAAGGGGGTCCCTCCGGCAGCCTGAATGAGAACCTGCACCGCCGGAGCCGGTTCCCTCCTGGTGGAGTTTGGGGCGATCCTGAGCCGGCTTCTGGGAGACTCCACATTTGAGTGGGTGGCTCGCCGAGCTGTGCAATCCTCTGGAGTCTACGCAGCAATCATACCGGACTCCTAGGTAAGGAGGACAATGAGGTGCCTGCCACCGTCCCCCACCAGTCCCTTACCTCACTTTCACCTCTCTCTGCTTGCAGGCAATGTGGTGGACATCCAGACGGGGGAGTGGGTCGGGAAAGCAGAGCGGCCTCGGTGCCGGTCTAGATATTCCTTCTTCAGTACCTGCTGAAGTCCTACATCTTGTTTGGGGAAGAGGAGGATCTGCGCATTGTTTAATGAAGCCTATAAAAGTATCCGGAACCACTTTACGGAGAGGGTAGGTTGGGTGGGACATGTACAGGGCGGACTGACCATTCAAGCACTCGGGCACTGCCCGAGGGCCCGGGCTCAGTAGGGGGCCCCATGAGTTGTCAGTCCACCCCTGGACCTGTAGTTTCCTTCCACAAAGGGCGAGTTGGGAAAGGTTTTGCATCTTTTAGAATGTTTAAATTGGAATTGGTCGGGATTGCATTTGTGTGGCGTCGGCGGGTGGCGTCGGCTTGCATTTGTGGCGTCGGCGGTCGGCTTGCATTTGTGGCCGTCGGCGGCCGGACTTGCATTTGTGCCGTCGGCGGTCGGCTTGCATTTTGGCGTCGGCGGTCGGATTGCATTTGTGGCGTCGGCGGCCGGAGGCTTGCATTTGTGGCGTCGGCGGTCGGCTTGCATTTGGGGGCGTCGGCGGTCGGACATTGCATTTGTGGCGTCGGTTGCGGTCGGCCTTGCATTTGTGGCGTCGGCGGTCGGCTTGCATTTGTGGCGTCGGCGGTCGGCTTGCATTTGTGGCGTCGGCGGTCGGATTGCATTTGTGGCGTCGGCGGTCGGATTGCATTTGTGGCGTCGGCGGTCCGGCTTGCATTTGTGGGCGTCGGCGGTCGGCTTGCATTTTGTGGCGTCGGCGGTCGGCTTGCAATTTGTGGCGTCGGCGGTCGGGCTTGCATTTGTGGCGTCGGCGGTCGGCTTGCATTTGTGGCGTCGGCGGTCGGATTGCATTTGTGGCGTCGGCGGGTCGGCTTGCATTTGTGGCGTCGGCGGTCGGCTTGCATTTGTGGCGTCGGCGTCGGCTTGCATTTGTGGGCGTCGGCGCGGCGGCTTGCATTTGTGGCGTCGCGGTCGGCTTGCATTTTGGGCAGCGTCGGCGGTCGGATTGCATTTGTGGCGTCGGCGGTCGGCTTGCATTTGTGGCGTCGGCCGGTCCGGCTGCATTTGTGGCGTCGGCGGTCGGCTTGCATTTGTGGCGTCGGCGGTCGGATTGCATTTGTGGACGTCGGCGGTCCGGATTGCATTTGTGGCGTCGGCGGTCGGCTTGCATTTGTGGCGTCGGCGGTCGGCTTGCATTTGTGGCGTCGGCGGTCGGCATTGCATTTGTGGCGTCGGCGGATCGGCTTGCATTTGTGGCGTCCGGCGGTCGGCTTGCATTTGTGGCGTCGGCGGTCGGATTGCATTTGTGGGCGGCGGTCCGGATTGCATTTGTGGCGTCGGCGGTCGGCTTGCATTTGTGGCGTCGGCGGTCGGATTGCATTTGTGGCGTCGGCGGTCGGCTTGCATTTTGTGGCGTCGGCGGTCGGCTTGCATTTGTGGCGTCGGCGGTCGGATTGCATTTGTGGCGTCGGCGGTCGGATTGCATTTGTGGCGTCGGCGGTCGGATTGCATTTGTGGCGTCGGCGGTCGGATTGCATTTGTGGCGTCGGCGGTCGGATTGCATTTGTGGCGTCCTCCAATAAGGCCACATCCAGCCAAACTATATGAGTAGCAAGGGTGATGAGCGTGATGCTTGCACCATGGAGCGTAGCAGACCAGACACCTATGGGGCGTACTGGAGGCCACACGGAGACACGGAGTTAGAGAAACACATGGGCACACCTGGAGACACCCCTCCCCCAGTCTCCATACAGCCTCCGGTACGCCCCATCGGTGTCTGGCCTGCTACGCTCCGTCATCAGTACACTCTACTGCCTCTACCCTCAGGTATGATCCTCTCTCTGGATACGGACCCCTGATCCTTCCCCACCAGAAGTGGAGGGCTGTCAGTGTGGTCCACTCCATAATATTGTCTCCATGACACGAGTAGTTTCTGGGTCGTCTCCTTGCAGCAGAGAAGCACTGGGATGGCATAACCGTGGGTCCAATAAAACCAGTCTTGGTGTGTCAAGCGTGGACTCCAGTAAGCTGCCTTTCACAAGATACAGTTCCTCCGGAGAGACTCCAGAAATCCCTGAATCCAGACATAATACACCCAGCGAGGGGCGCCATCTAAGTGCAGCATAAATACATTTATTGTACATCAAATTGGCAACTCACAGGAATTGTTTGTGAGGCATGTGGAACGTAAGAAATCCGGACATCCAGAGGACCCTGTAGCAGTGGCTGGTATTCAGTCCAGGAATTGTGCAGCATTGACAGGCTTGACAGAGGCAGGAACACCTTTGCCATGTGTAGCCACGCCCCCCAGGATGTCCCGTGGCATCATCTATTGGGTTCCTGTGAAGGATTCTGCTGGCAGGTTTGACAGAGGCAGGAACACCTTGAAACATATAGCCACACCCCCCAGGATGTCCCTCGGCATCTGACATCCATGTGAGTTCCTGTGGACTCTCCCTGGCTGGCTTGACAAAGGCAGGAACACCTTGAAATATTTAGCCACGCCCCCCAGGATGTCACTTGGCCTCTGACATCATCCATTGAGTTCCTGTGGACTCTCCTGGCTGGCTTGACAAAGGCAGGAACACCTTGAAATATTTAGCCACGCCCCCCAGGATGTTTCCCTTGGCCTCTGACATCAATCCATTGGATTCCTGTGGACTCTCCTGGCAGGCTTTGACAAAGGCAGGAACACCTTGAAATATTTAGCCACACCCCCCGGATTAGGGTCCATCATGTCATTCCTCTGCGGCTCCACCTCTGACATCAGCTTCCATTGAGTTGCCTGTGGACTCTCCTGGCTGGCTTGACAAAGGCAGGAACACCTTGAAATATTTAGCCACGCCCCCCAGGATGTCACTTGAGGCCTCTGACATCATCCATTGAGTTCCTGCGGAGTCTCCTGGCTGGCTTGACAAAGGCAGGAACACCTTGAAATATTTAGCCACGCCCCCTCAAGATGTTCCCCGGCATCTGACATCCATTGGATCCCTGTGGAGTCTCCTCACAATAAAGAGGCAGGGACACCTTGAAACGCGTAGCCACACCCCCCGGAGTGTCCAACATCATCCATTCCTCTGCAGTCCCTCCCTCCCCCCCCCCAGATGTCCTGATCAGGAAGTGCACTAAGCTTCCCCTCCATGCCCCTCCCCCCAGCCAGCGGCAGTGCGACACAGTCCCTGGACTGGATGCCTCTGCTACAGGTTTCCCTGGATGTCCTGATTTCTTATGGTCTGCATGTGAGCTTCCCTGTTTGTTCTCCTCATGCAATACATGTTTTAATGCTGCACTTAGATGGCGCCCTCTGCTGGGTGTGTGTCCATAATAGAACTGAAGACCACACCCCACCGACATCCGAGGAATCTCGCCTTCCAGGAGGATTGATGGTGTTGCTGGGGGGGGGGGGGGAGGTGGACGGGTTCTGGTATTTCCGAAGAAAAGGTGACAACAGAAGTGTGACAACAGAAAGTGTAGAAGACGGGGGGGGGTTTTCTGGTATATGTGACCGAAGAAAGGTATGACAACAGAAAATGTGTCCTGACAACAGAAATGTAGAAGACGGGGGGGGGGGGGTGTCATTTCCCTCCAAGGTATGATGGAAGAAATTTCCCACCAGGTGGGGGTATGATGTGGGGGGGGGGGGGTTGGGGTCTGTCCATGTGATGATGGTAATTGATGATTTGTCCTTCAGGGAGAGGCGTGTAATGAAGGTGAGGGGGACCCCCCGCTGTACGTCAACGTGAACATGTTAAATGGCCAGATCATGAACCACGTGGATCGACTCTCTGCAGGGCAATTCTTTCCCCGGGCCGTCCAGGTATGATGTGACCCCCCCCATGTCTGTCATTTCCCTCCCAGGTATGATGTGACCCCCCCCCCCCCCCCATTGTCCCTGTCATTTCCCTCCAGGTATGATGTGCCCCCCCCCCCCCCCCCCCCCATGTCCTGTCATTTCCCTCCAGGTATGATGTGACCCCCCCCCCCCCCCATGTCCTGTCATTTCCCTCCAGGTATGATGTGACCCCCCCCCCCCCCCCCCGCCCCCCATGTCCTGTCATTTCCCTCCAGGTATGATGTGACCCCCCCCCCCCGCTGTCCTGTCATTTCCCTCCAGGTATGATGATGTGCCCCCCCCCCCCCCGCGCTGTCCTGTCATTTCCCTCCAGGTATGATGTGACCCCCCCCCCCATTTTCCCTCCAGGTATGATATGACCCCCCCCCCCCCCCCCATGTCCTGTCATTTCCCTCCAGGTATGATGTGACCCCCCCCCCCCCCCCCCCCCGCGCCTGTCCTGTCATTTCCCTCCAGGTATGATGTGACCCCCCCCCCCCCATTTTTCCCCAGGTATGATATGACCCCCCCCCCCCCCCCGCTGTCCTGTCATTTCCCTCCAGGTGGCATGCCTGTCATTTCCCTGGTATGATGTGACCCCCCCCCCCCCCCCCCCCCCCCCCTGTCCTGTCATTTCCCTCCAGGTATGATGTGACCCCCCCCCCCCCCCTCCAGCCCCCCCCCCCCCCCCCCCCGCGCTGTCCTGTCATTTCCCTCCAGGTATGATGTGACCCCCCCCCCCCCCCCCCCCCTGTCATTCCTGTCATTTCCCTCCAGGTATGATGTGACCCCCCCCCCCCCCCGCGCTGTCCTGTCATTTCCCTCCAGGTATGATGTGACCCCCCCCCCCCCCCCCCCCCCCCCCGCGCTGTCCTGTCATTTCCCTCCAGGTATGATGTGACCCCCCCCCCGCGCGCTGTCCTGTCATTTCCCTCCAGGTATGATGTGACCCCCCCCCCCCCCCCCCCCCGCGCTGTCCTGTCATTTCCCTCCAGGTATGATATGACCCCCCCCCCCCCCCGCGCTGTCCTGTCATTTCCCTCCAGGTATGATGTGACCCCCCCCCCCCCCCCCCCCCCCATTTCCCTCCAGGTATGATGTGACCCCCCCGCTGTCCTGTCATTTCCCTCCAGGTATGATGTGACCCCCCCCCCCCCCTGTCATTTCCCTCCAGGTATGATATGACCCCCCCCCCCCCCGCTGTCCTGTCATTTCCCTCCAGGTATGATGTGACCCCCCCCCCCCCCCCCCCCCCCTGTCATTTTCCTCCAGGTATGATGTGACCCCCCCCCCCCGCTGTCCTGTCATTTCCCTCCAGGTATGATATGGACCCCCCCCCCCCCCCCCTCCAGGCGCTGTCATTTCCCTCCAGGTATGATGTGACCCCCCCCCCCCCCGCTGTCCCATTTCCCTCCAGGTAAATGACCCCCCCCCCCCGCTGTCCTGTCATTTCCCTCCAGGTGATATGTCCCCCCCCCCCCCCCCTGCGCTGTCCTGTCATTTCCCTCCAGGTATGATGTGACCCCCCCCCCCCCCCCCCCGCGCTGTCCTGTCATTTCCCTCCAGGTATGATATGACCCCCCCCCCCCCCGCGTCCTGTCATTTCCCTCCAGGTATGATGTGACCCCCCCCCCCCCCCCCCCCTGTCATTTCCCTCCAGGTATGATGTGACCCCCCCCCCCCCCCCCATGTCCTGTCATTTCCCTCCAGGTATGATACCCTCCCCGTGACCCCCCCCCCCCCGCTGTCCTGTCATTTCCCTCCAGGTATGATGTGACCCCCCCCCCCCGCTGTCCTGTCATTTCCCTCCAGGTATGATATGACCCCCCCCCCCCCCCCCCCCCCCGCGCTGTCCTGTCATTTCCCTCCAGGTATGATATGTCCCCCCCCCGCGCTGTCCTGTCATTTCCCTCCAGGTATGATGATGTGACCCCCCCCCCCCCCTTGGTCCTGTCCCGCGCTGTCCTGTCATATTTTCCCTCCAGGTATGATGTGACCCCCCCCCCCCCGTGCTGTCCTGTCATTTCCCTCCAGGTATGATGTGACCCCCCCCCCCCCCCCACGCTGTCCTGTCATTTTCCTCCAGATATGATGTGACCCCCCCCCCAGTGCTGTCCTGTCATTTGTAGTTCATCCTCTGTGACAACGCCACCTTGAACACTCCCGGACGTTGTCATGGAGGATGCCTAGAATCCATTACTGCCGATTTCGTGGTTACAGGTGCTGAAAGGAGACATCGAGGACGCCATCTGCCTGCACGCCTTTTACTACGCAATCTGGAAGAGATTCGGCGCTCTGCCTGAGAGATACAATTGGCAGCTGCAAACCCCCGACGTCTCCTTCTACCCTCTGAGGCCAGAGCTGGTGGAGTCCACCTACCTCTTGTATCAGGTAAGTTGTTACCACATTAATGTCTGCCTGGAGACAGAAACCTCGTCTTTGGTGGGAGAGACATTTAGGTGGACTACAGTCCTGAAATCAGAGAAGGAAAAATCGTATTTGTTCTCCATTCACATGTTACTTTCCTAAATTGTCCTCCAGGCCGGCCCATGAGGCACTTCCTCCAACAGGGACAGGAAATTTCCACGTCTGCCTGGCTGGGTTGCGTTTTCGCATTTTTTTAAAAGATGTTAATTTTTATAATGAAGTGGAATGTGAAGTACTACACTGGGGGGGTGCCACCCTTACTCCTTATCTGAGCATTGGGTAAAAAGGAGAGATCAACATCTGGCAGACAACTCCAGTCTGATCGCCAATGCTGTGCGTGATGACGTCAAGTTGTAGGCCACGCCCTATGTGTTTTGTTAACCACTTCCCGTCCAGTGGTGAATAAATACCATCAAAATAACAGTTTTCTTTCTCAAAAAAATGCTAAAAAAATTCATCTGGGTACAGTGTCGCATGACCGCGCAATTGTCATTCAAAGTGTGATAGCACTGAAAGCTGAAAATTGGCCTGGGGGGGAAGGGTGTCTGGACTTGAAGGGGGGGAGGGGGAGTGTCTGGACTGGAAGGGGGGGAGGGGGGGGAGTGTGTCTGGACTGGGGGGGGGGGGAGGGGGGAGTGTCTGGACTGGGGGGGGGGGGGGAGTGTCTGGACTGGAGGGGGAGTGTCTGGACTGGAAGGGGGGGGGGGGAGTGTCCTGGACTGGGGGAAGGGGGGGGAGGGGAGTGTCTGGACTGGATGGGGGGGGGGGGGGGAGTGTCTGGACTGGAAGGGGGGGGAGGGGGAGTGTCTGGACTGGGGGGGGGGGGGGGAGTGTCTGGACTGGAGGGGGGGGGGGGGGGGTGGGGGAGTGTCTGGACTGGAAGGGGGGGGGGGGGGGAGTGTCTGGACTGGGGGGGGGGGGGGGTGGAGTGGGGGAAGGGGGGGGGGGTGGTGTCTGGACTGGGGGGGGGGAGGGAGTGTCTGGACTGGGGGGGGGGGGAGTGGGACTGGGGGGGGGGGGGGGGTGTCTGGACTGGAAGGGGGGGGGGGGGGGGGGTTTAATTGAGTGGGGGGGACTGGAAGGGGGGGGGGGGAAGGGGGGGGGGGAGTGTAAGTGGGAGGGGCGTCCGGCCTGCAAGGGGGGGGGGGGGGGGGGGGAGGGTGTTAAATGGACTCAAATGTCATCAGGAGGATGGCCCAGACATTTTTTATATCGTTTCATTTCCACGTCTTGTTCCTTCATCATCAATCGTTGATACGAGAACTTCCATCTATTTCTGGGTTTAGCATTACACGTTTATATTTCCTTTTTGTTCTGTTTGCCCCCCAGGACCCCTCTGTGGTACGGGCAGGACCCCTCTGTGGTACGGGGGAGGGGGCTTAGTTCCCTTTGTCCCTGGACCCTGGACCCTTAGTTCTCTGTGGTACCCTCTGGGTACGGGAGGAGGGGGCTTAGTTCCCTTTCTGTGCCTGGTGAAGGCCATGTCTGGAGGCGGCCATCCCTTGACTGGGACCAGTCCAGGCAACGTGGATTCCCAGTCCGGGGGTCCGGGTGCGTGCCATAGGGGCAGACCTGCAGCCTTGATCCTGAGCCAGGCTGTCTGTATCTATAGACACAAATAGTGTAGCTCGGCCCCACTCCTTGCTGCCTCCTCACCAGGTTTGACTGACAACAGCAGGAACCAGTGGTCACGCAACTATCAATCTGATTGGCTGCCATGCAGAGTCATGGATGTGATGTGTGTGTTGGGGTTCCAGGTTGCTGCAGTGATGACTCTGTATTCCAGGCCACTAAGAATCCCTTCTACCTCCATGTGGGGATGGACATCCTCCTCAGTCTGGAGAAACACGCCAAAGCCAAGTAAGTGTGTCAGGTGACCATGATCTGTGTGGGTATCGGCTGGCTGTCTCTGTGGGGTGTTTGCAGGGTGGGGTATGGGCTGGCTGTCTCTGTGGGGTGTTTGCGGGGTGGGGTATGGGCTGGCTGTCTCTGTGGGGTGTTTGCGGGGTGGGGTACAGAACTGACTGTCTTTGTCTGGCAGATGCGGGTATGCCACTCTGCACCATGTGGTGGACAAGTCTCAGGAGGATCGCATGGAAAGCTTCTTCCTGAGTGAGACCTGCAAGTACCTCTTCTTGGTGAGTACACAACTGTCACCCATTATGGTGAGGGCGCTCCATGCCCGGTCTGTGAGGGCGCTCCATGCCCGGTCTGTGAGGGCGCTCCATGCCCGGTCTGTGAGGGCGCTCCATGCCCGGTCTGTGAGGGCGCTCCATGCCCGGTCTGTGAGGGCGCTCCATCCCGGTCTGTGAGGGCGCTCCATGCCCGGTCTGTGAGGGCGCTCCGATGTGAGCCCCAAATCTCATCCAGGGTGTAACCCCTTCCCACCTGTTCCAGCTTCCCTTCACACTTGTGCGACTTGTCATGTGTCTTTGGACACGGAATATTGTGACGTTACCTCCACGCGGCTGATGACCCGTTCCTGCGATCTTTGTGAACTAAAATCCCTATTTTTATTGCAATACATGTGTAAGCCGGCCAACTGCGTCAGTCATCCCTCCGGGACGGGTCCTACTCTGCCCTCCGGGACGGGTCCTACTCTGCCCTCCGGGACGGGTCCTACTCTGCCCTCCGGGACGGGTCCTACTCTGCCCTCCCGGGACGGGTCCTACTCTGCCCTCCGGGACGGGTCCTACTCTGCCCTCCGGGACGGGTCCTACTCTGCCCTCCGGGACGGGTCCTACTCTGCCCTCCGGGACGGGTCCTACTCTGCCCTCCGGGACGGGTCCTACTCTGCCCTCCGCGACGGGTCCTACTCTGCCCTCCGCGACGGGTCCTACTCTGCCCTCCGGGACGGGTCCTACTCTGCCCTCCGGGACGGGTCCTACTCCGCCCTGCCAATGTAATGTACTGTGGACACAATGCCAACATGGGGGGCCATCAGACACAAAGGGGGGAGAGCTGCCAGGTTTAGGTGTGGCTCCTGACCGGCTATGCAGACCAGATCGATCTTTTGTTGTCTATGTATCATTGATGTTTGGCTGGGCTGAACCTTTCCTTCTGCTCTCAGCTTTTCGATGAAGAAAATCCGGTGCACACGACGGGCAATAACTATCTGTTCACCACGGAGGGTCACCTCCTCCCCCTGGATCCTCGCTTCAGGAACAAAGCTTGGAAGGACATCTTCACCTCGGAGAACAAAGCACAAACCAGATCCCCGAAAACTGTCCCAGACCAAAGTGCGAGCCGCCAACACCAGCACCAATGTAAGTGACCGAATCAGATCCCTGTCTGTGGGGTGCGGGGTCTCCACACTGCTTGGTATGGGCGTGTATGGGGGGCGGGCCATGCTGGAAATGGCGTGTATGGGGCGGGCCATGCTGGAAATGGCGTGTATGGGGCGGGCCATGCTGGAAATGGCGTGTATGGGGCGGGCCATGCTGGAAATGGCGTGTAATGGCGTGTATGGGGCGGGCCATGCTGGAAATGGCGTGTATGGGGCGGGCCATGCTGGAAATGGCGTGTATGGGGCGGGCCATGCTGGAAATGGCGTGTATGGGGCGGGCATGGGGGCGGGCCATGCTGGAAATGGCGTGTATGGGGCGGGCCATGCTGGAAATGGCGTGTATGGGGCGGGCCATGCTGGAAATGGCACACACCCATTATTTATTTTACAGAAGGGGGCGGTGCTTGTGTCACACCTCCAGCCGTGGGCTACAATTGCACAGCACTCTGTAGTGACCAGCTAGCAACACCTGTTTGGCTAACAACTCCGCTCACAGACACGCCTACCATGTTGGATCCCTCCCATTGAATTATGGGAAATGTAGTACCTATTCCTCCATGGTAAAGCGATGCAATGCATAGTGTCCCCCCCCCCCATCTTGTGTCTGAAGCGTGCACCGACCCGGAGGTCATCTATCAGGCACCCAATCCACGTTCTGTTGAAGATTTCTAAATAAAATCTTTCTGTTCCCATTACATATATTAGTCCCTGTGATGTCATCACTGGGTCTCTGTGCTTCTCTATGCAATGCAAGCAGATCATGGCTGGTGGGAGGGGTTGGCAGGGGGCTGTATACATCTTCCTGAAAATATCACAGCACCCCTGCCTCAGTACACCTCTCAAGCACCCTCAGTATTTATGCAAGTAAAGAGGAATTATGCAAATACAAAAATGTCTTGATGGGTGGGTGTCAGGCTGGAGGAGTGGGTGTTCCTAGGCAGGCTGGATTTGCATAGGTAACGCCCACATGTGACACTGAGCCTCCATCGTTCTAGGAACTGAAATCCAATGAACGAAAGGGAGGGCCAGGCTGGGGGGAATCTGTGGGTGGGTTTTGGGCGCTGGGCATTGTGGGTAATGCTTTGTTTTGTGTTCAGTGTTACAGAGTCCCGGAAGAACGGCGGTACTCCCTCCCTCTGAAGAGCGTCTACATGCGTCAGATCGATCAGATGGTGGGGCTCCTATAGCGTCTGTGATTTTTGCCTCGGAGTCCCGGGGCCCCTCAGACTGGGAAAAGCTCCAACTTCCCGGACACAGAGCCCGGGCCCCGATGCAGGAACCTCTGTGTCCGTGACCCGCTACGGCGAATCTCAGGGACTAACTGCGCCAACTTGCACACCGGTTCTTGTCTTCCAACGCTGCTGCTTTTATGGTCCCCAATATCAGACTTTACTGACACGTCGCCAGGAGCGGCACAAGATCACTCGCCGCACTTCCTGCGCCAATCCCGCGACGCCATTTTATTATTTTAAGCTGTCCATGTGAGTGTTCGATCGTCTGGAGCCCAGATCCACATTGCCAAAATGACTCGAGCCAAACGCTTTCCGCTTTTCTGTTGCATACAGACTGTGGTCATGTGATCATGTGATGTGGTCATGTGATATCCCGTCTTTCCCTTCTCAGTGCCTTAGGAGAACTCCTCCCCCGTATCGCCCTCTCCTGGCCGCCTGTGCCTACACACCTCCCGCTACGTCTCCTCTGTGATTGCACATCAGGGCCGGCTTTTAATCTTTTATTTTTTTAGAAGAACCGGAAATACATTTATTTTTATTTAAAGATACAAATATTAAAAGGATTACTTTTCCTGCTGGTCAGAGACCCTTCACTTTCCTATGATTATTGCACCGTGACTCCCCCACCCCCCACCACCGAGGGTGCAAACCGAAGAGGCAACCATGACTGGGCCAGAGCAGCAATGTAATCTTGTGGGCCGAGAGGTCTGCACCAAACCCCAAACCCTCCCGTCCAATGGGCCGAGAGGTCTGCACCATACCCCAAACCCTCCCGTCCAATGGGCCGAGAGGTCTGCACCATACCCCAAACCCTCCCCTCCAATGGGCCGAGAGGTCTGCACCATACCCCAAACCCTCCCGTCCAATGGGCCGAGAGGTCTGCACCATACCCCAAACCCTCCCGTCCAATGGGCCGAGAGGTCTGCACCATACCCCAAACCCTCCCGTCCAATGGGCCGAGAGGTCTGCACCATACCCCAAACCCTCCCGTCCAATGGGCCGAGAGGTCTGCACCATACCCCAAACCCTCCCGTCCAATGGGCCGAGAGGTCTGCACCATACCCCAAACCCTCCCCTCCAATGTGCCGAGAGGTCTGCACCATACACCAAACCCTCCCCTCCAATGGGCCGAGAGGTCTGCACCATACACCAAACCCTCCCCTCCAATGGGCCGAGAGGTCTGCACCATACCCCCCCCCCTCTCCCAATGGGCAGAGAGGTTGCACCATACCCCCCCCCCCCTCCAATGGGCCGAGAGGTCTGCACCAAACCCTCCCCTCCAATGGGCCGAGAGGTCTGCACCATACCCCAAACCCTCCCCTCCCCTTCAATGGGGCCGCGAGGTCTACTCTACCCCCTGACGTGGGCTGAGTGTTCTGCACCTCCCCGTCCCTCCTGTGGGCTGAGAGGTCTCCTCTACCCCCTGATGTGGGCTGAGAGTTCTGCACCTCTCCCCCCCCGTGGGCTGAGGTCTGCTCCACCCCCTGACGTGGGCCAAGTGTTTGGCACCTCCCTATCCTACCCCCTCACATGGGCCGAGAGGTCTGCTCTACCCCCTGATGTGGGACCGAGAGTTCTGCACCTCCCCCTCCCCGTGGGGCTGAGAGGTCTGCTCCACCCCCTGACGTGGGCCGAGCGTTCTGAACCTCCCCATCCCCCCCGTGGGCTGAGAGGTCTGCAATGCACCCCCCACATTGGGGATGAGAGGTCTCCTCTACCCCCTGCCATAAGCTGAGCTTTCCGCACCTCTCCATCCCATGCCCGTGGCCTAAGAGTTCTGCTCTGCCACCTGCCGATTCCCCCCATATTTTGCCCATTTTGAATATCATGGGGGTGGGGGGGATGGCGGTGCAGAGATCTGTGGTTGGGGGCCCCTTACATTGTTCTTCTGGTTTCTTTGTCTCTCCTGGGCTGTACCACCTACGGGAAGGAATGGGGAAGACACGATAAATGGGCCGGTCCTTCATGTACCTGAGCCTCTTGTTTCTCAGGTAGTATTCAGGGGGTTCTGTGATCCATTTATTTTTTTTTTTTTTTAAGTATTTGATTTTTTTTTTTATTGTAAAAACAAAAGTTTCAATAAAAAAATAAATAAATGTTCACATGTGATGTGGGAGGCTGGAGGTCCAATCTGATGTTGAATATCGCACCAATGGAAGCAGAGCAGCTGAAGTCCATGCGGCTGGTGGTCATCTGCTGAAGGATCCTGTTCAGCCAGTCCTGTGGTTGGCAAAGTTCTGCCAGGCTCGGAACTGACCTGCTCTGCTGGCTACAAGCCTCGTCCCTGTTGGTGGGGGTCTTGCTTTGTATGATCCCTGATCACCCCTCCCCCCCAGACCCGGCATGGTACAATGATTGACCCAGTCATCCTCATCCTAGGACAGGAATTGTCATTGAAAATGTGTCAGAAGAGCCCTGGAGCAAAGGGATCAGGCTGGAGATCCACCTTTGGGGGGGCGGAGCGGAGCTCTCGGTCAGGGGTGGAGCTCTCGGGTGGGGGTGTATCCTGGAGGCTCCTCAGGAATGTCTGAGAAATATAACAAAGAACGAGTGTGCCACAAAACTAATTGTAGTCCAGGAGGATTTACTGTTCATGACAGCAGACTAATCTGCCACGTTTCAGGGACTGAGCGCTCCCTTCATCAGGACAGGGACATGAGATGACCGGAGATTTATAGGAATTCTACAAAAATTGGGCCGGAGTTCTTCCTTAATGGAGATCATCAAAGTGTCAGCCAAAGGAATGACATGTCAGCGATTGCCGCTTCCCTGTCCTCCATGGGGGGGGGTTGTTTCATCGAGTGATCCTGCCAATGTCTCGGATCCTGGGGAAGGATGAATGCTGGAAAGCAATGAGTCCGGTAGGATCTTCTTCATGACAACACATTAAATCCAACACATTTCAGGGCTGTTCATCCTGACAGATCCTGCACAACAGCTGGGAGGGAGGACGGGGGTGGTATGGACCCAGCAGTGCTGCGGGGAATGGGGGGTGGTATGGACCCGGCAGTGCTGCGGGGAATGGGGGGTGGTATGGACCCGGCAGTGCTGCGGGGAATGGGGGGTGGTATAAACCCAGCAGTGCTGCGGGGGATGGGGGGTGGTATGGACCCGGCAGTGCGGCTGAGGATGGGGGGTGGTATAAACCCGGCAGTGCTGCGGGGGGATGGGGGGTGGTATGGACCCGGCAGTGCGGCTGGGGATGGGGGGTGGTATAAACCCGGCAGTGCTGCGGGGGGTGGTATGGCTGCCAGGGGAGTACACAGGAGCCCAGGGCAGCAGGAGATACATAGGAGGTGCAGCACATAGAGGAGCCAAGGCTTTTCTCTCCTGCTGCCGCTGAATCCCCGCAGGAGGGAGAGGAGGAGGAGAGAAAAGGATCGCTTCCTCTATGTGCTGCCCCTCCAATCCAGGCTGCCCCGGCCCAGTGGGCAAATGCCCGATGTGCCCCAAGGCCAGTCAGGGCCTGATGTGGGAAAATTACTAAAACTGGAGCACTCAGAATCCGATGCAGCTCTGCATGGCAGCCAATCAGCTTCTACCATGAAGCTTTGACCATAAAACCTGGAAGCTGATTGGTCCCTCTGCAGAGCCGCCCCAGATCCTGCTCCCTCCAGCTTTAGTAAATAATCCCATCAGTGATCAGAGTAGCGGACAGGTTGTAGTAATTCTAGTATGACAGAAGATGGCGCCACAGCACACGTGGACTGTCTGGGTCGGTACCTAGTTGTGTGTCGGTGGGCAGTGAGGAAGAAATCACTTGGGTTTAGCCCAATGGTGGGTGGCAGTGGTGGACCCCTTGGGGGTGGGGCCTTCCTGGTATGACCGTGCGGTTGTTTCGGTGAGAAGACTTGGGTGTTTCTATCAGGAAGCTGGTGCAGAGCAGCTGACAAGTGCATGTAGACAGGAAGTGGCTGCAAAGAGGCTGCAGGAGATGCAACAAAGGGTGAAAAAAGGTGAAAACAGTATTTTGCGGAAACAAATCCTGGCAGTTGATCTCAAGGTCACTGCGCTGAACTCCTCCTTCAGACGTTGGAGGTGACTGTGAGCACCAAACGCTGATCAGAGCACATTTTGCTGCGTCTCGGTGGTAATCCGGCGTATAAAGTTCTAACGGGCGATTCATGTGATGAGACGATGAGAGGAAGTCGTCTATAATTCCTCTTCTTCCCTCCGCGCCCCGGAAAGCCCGTTCTTTGTAGTGAATGTCACATTGGGCTGAGCTCGTTACTGCCATCCGAACGGTTCCCGTAATCCGTTAAACTTTAATGCGCCGCGGTTGTATTTATCTGCCAATTTCTCGTTTCTGAAAGTATGAAACGGGTAATTATCTGCGCTTAGCCAACATGCGAGAGCGGCGACTAATGCGCAGGCTTACAGATTAATTGTGCACAAAGTACAGCGTGGGTATTACCGGCATCCCGACTGAAACAGACGAATGACAACAACTACCTACCCCAGGCAACCTACACACTCCATCTATAGTGGACCTACAAGTCCCAGAGGAAGATGGATGATGGGAGTTGTAGCCGGAGCGCTGAGGTTTCCTACCTCCAACCCACATTATATGGATTGTGGACTCTTCACCGTTACACCTATAGATTGGACATCCGTTCCAAAACTGTGGCCCTTAATATGGCGACCCCTTCTCTTGTGGGCATAACAGCCAACACTCTTCTGGGAAGGCTTTCCATAAGGTTTTGTGACCATTTGTGACCAGGTCAGGACTGTACAGGACACTCGAGTTCCTCCACACCACACTGGTCAAACCAAGATTTTATGGAGCTGGACATCTCATGCCAAGAATCGTGGCCATTAATATGTAGTTGCCTCTCTTCCCCTATAGTCACTATTATGGATTGGAGGGTGTCTGTGGGAATTTGTGACCATTTGTGAAGTCAGGTACTGATGTTGGGTGGAAGACCTGGCTCACAATTCCAATTCATCATCACAA